TTAGATATTAAGATGGCAAATATTTAGCCCATAAATCTTGAAATATCAAGGTTATCTGAAGGTCATCTCCCATATTTGTGCCAAGGTATGTGAAAGAGATCAGTGTATTTAATCCTCTCTCCTTACCAAAAAAATCTTTTTACAAGAAAGTCAAGTAATTTATGAGGATCTGGTTATTTTCAATTTCTATTATGCAACCAGTATTGAGCAAATTAAAGACACTTTAATCCAGGAAATATGCAAATTACCAACCAAATTTTAACCCTACTGCACAATATGTCAGAAGAATAACAGAAATAATTGCTGTCAGTTTGTACTTTTTTGACCAATAATTCTCTGCATTTCCTGCTAGTCACTTGACTGATGCAAATGACCTTATTTTTACAGCATGCTTTTATTAAATAGTTTATTATTTTGGCAGACTAATAAAGATTTTGGTATTTGCTTTTATTTGCAATAATATTACCACCACATAAAAAAGGATTTTATGTTCTTTTTGAGGAACAAGGAGGATAAAAGTGGTGATGGATAGTACAACTGAGGCATCAGCAATGAGCTGGAAATGAGACGCATAAATATGAAAGCAGAGCTAAGAAAATAGAACGGCACCCTTGGCCTTTCTTAAAAGAACATGCACACTTCATGCTTCATTCACTCGGCTACAGAAACTCCTTTTGTTTCCAGGGAGTCAGAGACTGCACGCAAAGTCTGAAATGCTATTTTTACTCATTCATAACTGATGGATTCCTTCTTATTTAATTAGACTTATGCTGGGAAAATACTTCCAAGCCTTATGAGGATGTTTTGATTTGGAGGGGGGAAAACGTAACTGAAAAATTGGTGGCCACAGAGACCGAAGGGGGAATCAAAATATTTATTCATTTCTAAATATTTAGCACAGATCACAACAATGAAAGAACCAACACTTAGAGTCTATATACCATCAATCGCAATCACACAATAAAGTTTTTGAAGTGTGTGACTGAGCAAATAATATGATATTACTAGATAATAGCTGGGGGATAATAGAATGTAGGATGGAAACTTTGGAGATTATATGTTATATCTTTGCTTGTCAATGCTTGTGTTTATTTAAAAATTCAGATCTCTTGCATGTAACCTGTTTTCTGACCTAGTATTGGTATATAAATTGTACAGCCAGATAATAGATTTATTGTCAGAAGAATATTTTCAGCATTGATTCCATCATCTTCATTGTTAAACTCGTTTCTTGATTGTACAGCTTAATTGTTATCATAAAAGAAAACAGACTGTGCCCAATAAACTAAAAGGAAAGGTGAGTCTCCCCCCCCCCCCCATCAATGGCCAGAAACTGAACTGGCACACAATGACTTTTAGCTCAGTAATATTCAGATGTGGAACTCAGCCAATAGATAGAAAGTACGAGAAAGTAACATACTATGAGCTGAGAAAGCCACTGCTTCGTTATCGACAAGACTCGAATCGTACAGCGGGAGAGAGTTCTACCATTTGGACCCTTGTTGCAAAGGCTTACAATAGACATGCTTCTGACAAGAGGTTGGTGGTAGCAGAACAGACTTAACAATTAATGGTATGCCAAGGCTGAGTTCAGAGAATTGCTTTACCCAATGCCAATCATTCATTCCTGGCAGTAGCACTTCACATCTTTCCTGGGATGCCATCCAACCACAGTGGCATCTAAAATATATCGAGCAGTGTTGTTACAGTTGGAGGTGAAATTGAAATTTGCGCCAAACAGAAGTGACAAATTCACATGGCTGAGTGTTGCCTAGCAATCAGGTCCAAGGGGGGAATGTGGCAATTCTGCCTTTACCCATGAGTGTGTGGGAGCAGGGGAGAGAAACATTTACATTAGGGTTTGGGTGGTCTCACAAGTAAAGCCAGGTATACTAGAGGCTATCTTTTACTACCAGGACATGCAGAGAAGCCAGGGAAAGAGAGCGGCAGGCTGAGGTTGGTGGCATAAACAGCTTTAGTGAGAGGCTGAAGCTCTCAGCAGTTAACCTGGGGGAGGGGGAGAGAAGCAAGATGCCAAGATGCCAGACTTGATGCTCAAATTGATGGCAATTGGCCATCCTACTGCCTTTTGACTGCAGGCCTCTTGGTGCACCTCTGTTCAGCTATCACTTGGCAGCTGGGGGGCCCCAGGGTACAGTGAGCAAATGGTGGCTTTTTCTCATCAGAAATCCACCTGAAAGCAAGGCTTCTGATGTGTGGCCAGACTTAGGAGGCCGTGGAAAGAAAGGGGTACTGAGGCTGGAATTCTTACTGCTTTGTACTTACCCGGATCATTTTATTTCTTTGGGTTGTGGGGGCATGTTCCTCATTTTACCTATAGTGTATTTTATTATCTGGGATATAACATCTGACATACATGACTGTGCCCTCAAATGGTGAATGAAGGAACACATGGCTATATCAAACTTCCAGCCCTAAATTGAAGGGGAATAGTGTTTGCCCCTCGTCCTAATATACATAATTTGAATGGGGGCATTTTTGATCAGTCCTTATTTGGAGGAGATAGAAATTTATAAATATGGGAAATATATGGCTATGCTAGTGAAAGAGCTTGTGGAGGAGGGGGCAGCTCTCATGGGCTCTTTCCCCATTGCCCACATTGCTTGTTCTTTCTGTGTTGAACTGTTGGGACCTCATCAACTTCCTAAATCTATTCTTCCCATTCACATATGAAAGAAGAGGTTTCTGCGTGGAGGTTTCTCATCCCGCACACCCATTTTACTGAGTCAGTTTTGAGTAAATGCTTATCCTCAGTCCTACAAACCATCAGTGTCATTGTTATGGCATTTAATTAAATTTATTTGGAACCTATAGTGTTCTGAAGGAGACTCTTTAATATGGAAGTCATCTCTTCAAGTGGCATCAGACAAGTGCGAAGTGCTATGCAAATCCAAGATCCTTGTGTTGTCCGTTTGTCTAATGAACTGTTTAGTTCACAATAGATGCCAGTAAACAAATGAATGTGCTGAATAAATGGGTAGATTGCTGATGGCTGATGAATGTATGAAAAACATATATAGTTTTAAAGTATTAGGGCTGTAGGTAGAATATTTGCTGTACAGGCATGAGGATATGAGTTTTGATTCCCTAGCACACAGGTAAAATTCAGGCAGACAGGCCTTTGTTGTAATCTCATCAGTAGAAAATGTTGAGATTGATAGTTATGGAAGATGGAAGGCTCACTGGGCAGCCAGTCTAGCTCAAATGGCTAACTTCATGTCCAGTGAAAGACTTAGCCTCAAAACCAATTAAGTATTAAAGTGACAGAGAAAGATACTTGATGATGACCTGTGGCCTCCAAACATGCCTGCTTGTACCAGTAGCATCCATATACCTATACACCTACATATAGCACTCATGTGTAGACAGACAGACAGACAGACAGACAGACAGACAGACATATAGATAGATAGAAGCTGTACGGATCATCAATCTGACAAATAATTATAATTACCAAACGTTATTTATTCCTATTTTGTTATGCTAATTTTTTAAAGAATTATTTTGCAACTGCGAATGGGGAACACATCTTTAATTCTAGCATTTAGGCGACAGAGGCAGACAAATTTATGTGCATTTGAGGACAGCTCTACATAGTGAATTTCAGGTCAACTCGGGAGAGCTCCATGGTGAAACCCTGTCTAAAACAACAATTGCATATGAGGTTTGCCCTCTAAACTTTTAAGATGTATGGTGCAGCACTACATATGTAAGCACTGTGATGCACATCAGAGTTCTAGAACTCTTGTCCTGTCCTATGTAGGCTTTATATTCACTGACTCCTCTTAACCTGTGTCCTACTTTCTGCTGTTAGTTTGATTGGCTCTAGATACCCCATGTAATCATGCTGCATATGTTTTATGACTGCTTTAATTCACTTAGCACAATGTCTCCCAAGCCCTTCTGTGTTGGATCACATAGCAGGATTTCCCCATTTTTGAGCTGAACTGTGTTCTAGGGCGAGCATTCATTGCATTTGCTCTGACCATCTTTTGATGTGCATTTATAAGGTAGTAGTAAATCTGAGAATTTAAATAAGTCTTCCAGATGCTGGTTTCTATATTATTGGATACCTGCTCAGAAAAGGAAGACTAGATCATAGAGTAATCAATAACTGTTGACTATCTTGCATTTCCTTCAGGAATGGTAATATTAAGCATTTTCTCATATACCGGCAGCCATCTTTATATGTCCTTGGAGAATAGGAATTCAGGCTCTTAGCCCATTTCAAATTCAGATTCTTTGTTGTTTTTCTGTTGAATTGTATGAGTTGCTCTGTGTTCTGGATGTGAATGTCAATCACTTGCTCTGTGAATTCAGTTCCCCCTCCCATTCTGGAGCATGCAGCCTCACCTCATTCTTCTCTTTCCTTCTTCTGTGTGTGCGTGTGTGTGTGTGTGTGTGTGTGTGTGTGTGTGTGTGTGAGTGTGTGTGTGTGTGTGTGTGTGTGTGAGAGAGAGAGAGAGAGAGAGAGAGAGAGAGAGAGAGAGAGAGGGAGGGAGAGGGAGGGTGGGAGGGAGGGAGAGAGGGAGGGAGGGAAAGAGAGAGAGAGAGAGAGAGAGAGGGAGGGAGGGGGAGGGAGGGAGGGAGGGAGAGAGAGAGAGAGAGAGAGAGAGAGAGAGAGAGAGAGAGGTCCAAAGAAAACTTTGTGGAGTTGATAATCTTTTCCTACATTTTCATGAGTCTCAAAGAGTGAACTCAGGTCACCAGACTTGGGTAGCATGTGGATTTGTGCACTGAGCCTCTCCTGGCCCTGTTGTCCCATTTCTACAAAATATTCTACCATTTTTATGGGAATTTCAGAGAATCTATAGATAATTTGGAATAATGCCATTAATTATATTGTTTTCAAATCAATAGGATAGGCTATTTTTCTTTGATGCTATTGTGAATAGGATATGTAGCTTTATTTCCTTTAGACTTATTCACTGGGAATGTGTAGAAACTCAGTAATATTGGTTTTGGATTGTACTTTTCAGGATTTGTTTATTGGTTCTCAGAGGATTTTGGTGGAGCCGCTAGGTCTTTCCAGCTATAATGATATTTAATGTCCCTGGTAAACCGAGGTAAGTGCTCTTTTGATTTGTTCACCTTCCTAAATTACTTAACTAAATAAAGTATTAAATCTCACAATCATGAAATAAGTATATTTACAGAATTGTCTACTTCATGTTTTTGGATCACAGGTAACTCAAACTCCAGAAGCTGAAATGGCACACACAGAGGTAGTCTGTCTTTGTAAGAAAAAACATTTCATAACATCAGAAATAAGCAGTGTCTATTTTCATTGTATTAAGATTTGTATGGCTAGTCAGATGGCTCAATGATTAAGAGCTATTCTTTCAGAGGATCTAGGTTCAATTCCAAGCACCCACATGGTTGCCTCACAATTGACTGTAAGCCCCAGGAAATTCAGCACTCTCTTCTGACTTCTGATGGCACTATACACACATGGTACATATATATACACACACACATTCAGGCAAACACATAAAATAAAAATAAATGGGATTTCAAAAATAGGTTTGAAAATGGGACTGGAGAGATGGCTCCATTGTTAAGAGTACTGGCTGCTTTTTCAGAGAACCCAGGATTCAATTCCTTTCCCCTGTGTGGCAGCATACAACTGTCTGTAACTCCAGTTCCAGGTGATCTGGCACCCTCACACAGACATACATGCAGGTAAAGCATCAATACACATAAAATAAAAATAAGTAATAAAAAGATCTCTAAAATTGTTTTAAAAAAAAGCATCAAACATTTCCGAGAAATGAGAGATTTAAAAATCCTATTTCCCTATTTTAAACTTTCCTTTCCTGTGGCTGTGCTCATCTTACTGTAGCCATCCCTTTATTGATTTCTACCCATCTGTTGTCACACAAAGATGTCTTCAACCCTGGTACTTTTTGGGATAAATATACATATATTTCTGGCCCACTTCTTTTATTCTTCAATAACAATAAGAGATGAAACAAGAACAATATTATGATAAAGATTTTTATATTAAATTTCTTACCTGTTAAATCATCAAGAAAGTTCTGTTATTGTTGTTTTTTAACATAGAGGTGTCAAGAGGATTGATATAAGTCCCCCCACTCAAAAATGAAAGATACTAGAATTCAAACCCGGAGGTGAACCCTATTCCAGTGAGTGTCTTGGGCTAACAGTCTGCTGCACCATTTACTTTCTGTTAGTTCTCTGCCACACCCACTGAGTGATGGGAAATGTCTAAGGCAATAGCATCCTTGCTTAGGAGCATTTGGAAATGAGTGTGTATGCTAGGGGTGGTTAAACACTCATAAAAATACTCTGAGATGTGGCATATTATTTCAGATTAAAAGATCTAAAAATCTCAGAAATAAATTTTGTGGATTGTGGATGTCACACAAGAACCCTTGTATTGTTTCTACATTTTTAGCACATAACACTAAGCTTTGAGCCTAGTAATCTCAGCCCAGGTTTATTAGACTGCCGAAAAACACTAAGAAGTATTGGGGAATGCATGAATTTTAAAGTTAATATTCCAAGCTGTCAAAGGAATGTATTTATCTACAATGATTAGCCAGCAGATTGCCTGTAAAGTTGTTACTAAACTGTTGCTTAGTATCCTTCCAGGTCAATAAGATTACAGATGAGTTGCTCGAGATACCCAGACATCTCTTTGATTGGCAGATATATCTGTGTAATGAAATGGAAAATCAAATATTATTTAAATGAACTTAATTATTTAACAAACTATTTCTGAAATCAATGCTCTGAAGTATTATAAGTTATAAAAACTGTGCATACATGATTTAAAAGTTGAAAACTAATGGCTACTCATGTTCTTAAAAGTTGAGTGAATGGAAGCTGGGTATGGTGGTGCATGTCTTTAATCCCAGCACTTGGGTATCAGAGACAAGTAGATCTCTATGAGTTTGAGGCCAGCGTGGCCTAGATAGATATTTTTAGGTCAGTCAATATTATAAATGTGACCTTCTCTCAAAATGGACAAATAGTCAGACCAAATTGAGTGAATGGGTTCAGGTGTCTTATCTCCAGACCAGTTTTAAGCAAACACCACTGCTAACCTACCACGGAGTCACCTCTCATGGTCACCATCTTAGCGCTAATTAATTATTCAGCTCCACTTGTCTGGCAAGTAGCATGTAGTTGAAACTAGATCATTGCCTGTGGATTTCTGTGACTTGGAGACCAAACTGGTGTACAGGAGTGATTTCAATGCTACCTATGCCAAAATAGTAAAATCTTGTCTCAAAAAGTCAATCCTCCACACAAAGGAAAGAAGAAAATGAAGTCTTTCAACTGAAAGAATATGTGTTTTAAATGAACAAAGATTATTATTATTATTTTTTTTAGAAAAGGCTGAATACATTTAGTGGAAAACATTAGGTGACCAATTTCTTTGGACTGAGAGTGTGCATGAGGTAGATGGTATATAAAGAATAGTTGTCAATTGCAGGTATGCAATAATAGGTAGGTAAATCCTACCAGTGAATATCGCTCTTTATGTCTTTAGTAACTACAATGTATTGATAATTCACAATGCAGAAGATACTATGGCTTATGCTATTTCTGTTTCCACTGTAGTGTTTAGCAGGGTGTTAAACCATGGTAGTCACTCAGTGAAATCCTGAAGCTGACTGTATGGAAATACAAAATAACCATCAATTTGGAGGATATCTCATTAAATTGTCATTCCCATCATTCTGCAGCGATGTAAGCTTGGACTCGTGGCATATTGAAAATTATTTTCCCAATTGTGTAAAGGGACTCCTACAACAGAATATGTATCACTTATAATAGTATGTAAATGCTTTTGATAATATTTACATACAGAAGTGTTAAATATAAACTCAACAGTTTGCTCATTGGGTGCAGGGCGATACAAGCCCAAACCTGTGTGGTTGTTAGAAATCAGGTCCCTTGGAACTTAGTATTCTCATCTTGAGAATAAAGTCAACACGGAAGTGATTAGTGAAGTCCACTAAAATGCTACTCTCTCTATTTCTGAGACATGAAATATCAGTGATGTCTGTAATCAAACACTTTCTAGGATCCAATACACAAATACAGTACTGAAAGAAATCAGTAATAGACCATTAAAAACTGAACAGGATGACTCTAATCATTGTGGATGTACTTACAACATGACTAATATCAGCTGGTGCGAGCCAGGGGTGATGTTCATATTAGCTTGCAAATACAAAATAAATAAATAAATAAACAATAGTGAGTATTTTATTAATCCAAATTTATGTGATTTAGTAGAACGCTAGTTTTTCTTTAGTGATTTTTTTCTACTTTGGTGTCAAGTTGTATTTTCATGGTACAAAGGTAATAAAACATAGTAATTATTTATTCAGATTACCTTATGTGGGGAAAAATGAAAAAGAATACATAAAGTTGAAAACTGAAAATTTCCTAATCTTTTATCTTCTGTTATTTCTCAGGTCCGTGAAACTTGAAGATCAGAAAAATCACAGACCTACAGAAGCCGCCTTTAAAATAGCTTGTATTTTGCCATCAGCATCAACATTACCATTAACAACACTTGAGACTGAACTTTCAAGAAAGGGCTATTAACATATTGAAAAGTGCCAAGTTTTTAATCTATCTAGCCTTACTTAACCTCAAAGGGGAGAAAACAAAATAAAACTCTCTGTACTCTGAGGGTGTAAAAAATGGAAATGAATAAAGGAACAAGAGGCAGTCCCCTCCCTAACTCCCGTGGCATTCTGAGTGAAATCTTTACAAGTTAGGAAATGGCGCTAGAAGCCCCTTCTTCTGGAGAAGTGGAGTTTGCAGCATTTAACAGAATCTTTGGCTCCCACCGACTTGAGGCAGGTACTGCCAGGCCTATCTAGGAGAAGTGAGATGAAACGAGGAAACACCAACGGCTTTGTTTCGAGTCGCTCTTCCAATTCCAAACTCCTGGGTGGAAAAATATATTCAAATTTGAGGGGACTTCTTAAGAAAAGAAATGCTTTGTGGAGATATTAAAAAAAACTAAGATCAATAAGCTATAAAAATTTGAAGTCCGTGTATAAGGTAGATTTTAATGTCACAATAAAAACTTGGCTTTGATAATGTTTTTTGACTAACATTTGGAGATATTTTTATTGTCAATTGACACACAGTTTTTAATAAGTGGAGACATTTTGTGACTTTTCATTAAATTTATATTCATTTTTCCAAATTGCAAACGTTTGTCATTATATGTTCTTTTATTTATCCAAATATATTTATATATTTTAATATTTCTATGTAATTTTATTTGAAGAATACTTATTTGTATATGTCAGTTTTGGGTATTATCTCAAATTATCTCTGAGCTTATTCAGATAAGTTGATCCAGAGTGAAGAAGGTAAAAGGTAAACAGAGAGAATTGAAAGACGTACTCAGTGCTAATCATTTTAATCTGTGACCCAAAGTAAAATCAAATAAGAAGTTTGATTTACTTACACTAAGTCCATCAGCCCAGTTGATAATACTACATGCTTCCTTAGCCTGAACATTGGTCCATATATAAGGTTCATCAATAATTGGGGTGCTTGAAACAGTATGAGTAGGCTTAACACCAGTGATATTGTACAAATGCAATCCTCTAGAGCAGTCATTTTCCACCTCCCAAAGCCCACACTCAGTGACACACTTCATTCTTCAAGGCCACACCTTCTCCAGCAAGGCCACACCTCCCAATAGTGCCACTCCCTATGGGGATATTTGCGTTCAAACCACCACACTAGAGAAGAAAGGAACACACATTTTAGCTTTCCTGTTTGTATGCATTATTCGTAGCCACATCAAAGTCATTAGTACTCATATCATAGTATCATGGATGCATGTACCACTTATCACATTCAGGCTCACTGTGAAAGTGTACATATGCATGTGGACATTTCCCAGTGTTCAGGGTGGGGGAAAACACATATAGACATAAATATTTTGACTAAACATTACCGAAAGGAAAAATTAGATTGTTTTTCAATAGGATTTTGCTATATAGTCCAGGCCACCTTCAAATTTATATTTCTTCTCTCTCTAGCTTTTTTCTGGGATTACAAACTTGTCCAACATTTTCAGTAGTTTATGTTCTTTTATGTGACTATTTGTGAACAGTATGAAGCAAGTGGGCAATTGAATTATTTTAACTGCATGATATCATTATCTCTTCATTTTTATTTACCCTTTGAAAATTATTCTTATATTCTTTATACATCTTTCTATACCTATAATTTTAAAGATACTAATAAATTTTAAAGATACCTAGTAAAAGTGAATCTCTATGTGAAGGTTGGGGAATGGGGGCATGCACTGCTCTAAGACATTATCTACCTTTAGACTCCTCGAAAGTCCTCTAAAGGATATAGTATTCTGTTTTAATTCCATCACCAATAATATTAACAGTAGCTGTTTTATACTTGTTTTGAAGTTAGAACATCGTGATTCAAATAATGCTTAAGGCACCAAGCTAGTGTGTAGGATGGACACAGTTTTTGAATTTATCTTTTTTTGTCAAATCATGCAGGGAGTATACTTTTCCCTTCTAGACTTCTAGACCACATGCTTTCTTCAGTCCAAAAAAAAAAAAATAGGGTTGTTTTATATGAACAGAACATCGGGTCCAGATTAAGATGTTAAGATTTGGTGTCAACAAGAGCAATATAGCAAGAAATTTCATTTTTAGTCAGTCATACTTTATTAGACAAATATGTTAGAACAAATATTTAATCTCATGGATGTTTCTCTGTTTTGGCCTTAACTTTGTCCTCAAGTTTGTACGTTCTCATCACCATTACCTCATAGAAAGTTAACTTTCCAGATTTCTAATTTTTGACGGTTTCTACTTATTTTGTTTCTAAAGGAACTTCCTTAATAGATAGTATATACTCTTTGGAGGAAAGTGGAAGCATAATATATATTATTATGAAGTGTGAGGGTCACTCTAAGGATAAACTGGTACAAATATCTATGTCTTCATAAATACCATATTTGTGTACATGATGTGTGAACAAGATTAATGATCTAATCAAAACCATCCCATAGGCCTGCACATGTGTGTGCACACATTCACATTCATCTTTTATGATGAAGCACAATTCTGGCACCAATGACATTTTGTATTTGGATGGAACAAGCTGGTGCCACCAAACAGGAACATTAATTCAGTGGCTCCTTAGCATGTTCCTATAGCAATGCAATGTATTATAAGCATGTTGTCTATATAAAGACAAACAAATAACATGTGTATTCTATTAGCTCTAAATCACAGCAGGGAGCTGAACTCATAGAAAAACAGTGCATCCAACCTTGTGCATATTAAGGGTTACTCATGAATGACTTACTGCGTGCCTAGGTTCCGCTCTGGTTCCATATAATTTACATAAGGATTCTTGAACACCACGCTCCTTTGCAAGTCAGCTCTCTCTGGAAGAGGCTGTCCATTATGGAGTCAAGGGTCCTTCAGGACCAACCTAAGGATAAGTATGTCCACAGGTATAAAAGAAAATACATAAAGTATGTTGGCCTCAAAAACATGTCTGAGAACTTTTTACCTGTGAAGAGCCCTTGGCAGCATTGATACTTTGGAGGATAATTCAAGCTGTCATGAAGGTGGGGAACTAGGTAGTTAAACTCTTGCAAGCTTATTGTGGCTCAGAATGCTCACCAAATACCCACGTAGGCCTGAATATACTTTATGTTGAGCATCAGAAAGGTCTGTCTCCTATTAATCTCCACTAGTTATTCAGGAAAATAGCAAGGTTAAAGCAATACAAAGGAAAAGCAGAAAGGCCCTAGATTTCCCAGACTTTGCTCATGAAAAATATGTATGTATATATAAATGTATACATGAATATATATATATATATATATATATATATATATGATATTGCAGTACTCATTCTTCGAACTCCACCTTTCAATATCAGTATGCTTTTAGTGATATCTTTCACTTTTTTTATTTCTACCTTTGCAGCACTATTGATTGAACTCTGGGCACTGTGCACACTAGCAAGGCACTCTACCTCTGACGCTGTTTCCACGGACTCATCATTTCTACTTTACAAACTCTATTTTAGAAAATATTACCATTGCCGGATTACTAGAGGGAGCGCAAGCGGAGAACAGCCATAAAGAAAGGGATGCGTCGGTCCTAATGCGGCCGTGGGCAGAGAAGGGAGGGCTTAGGTGTGCATTCCTTACTTGATTTTATTGTCTACATGTTGACTGCATTGCCCCACTGGGAGCTTTCTGGACATATTGTTTAAGGCATTTCATCAAGGAGAAACCATATTCTTGAATTTATATAGAAGAGATGCTTTGAATGCGAGGTTGTATCGGGTTCACCAGCTAAAACACAACATTCATTCAACAGCACTGGAATCAATAAACATACGTATTCTCTTTTAGGAAACAGCTTTATCATTTTTTTATAAAGAAACTAGGTATAACCTATAATGGATAGATAGATTCTGTATGTTTGGTTGCTAGAAAGTAGGCTTTGATAACTACTTTTCCGACACACACCCTTCTGAACAATTGGTGCATTAGCATTTTACTGCAGCAGGGTTATTCCTTTGTATGTCTCTGCATACAAATACATGGGCTAGAACTCAAAAGAAGTTTTAGTAAAAGGCATTAGAAGGTCTTTTTTTTGTTGTTGATGCTCCCATAGGGTCCAAAAGAGGATCTGTTAGAGAAGTGTTCAGCTGCTAATAACACAATGCTGCCACAGGCAGGGCTTTCTCCCCAACACTATGAAGTTTGGGAGTAGGTAGTATAGGGTAGATGTACGGTTCAGTCTTGCCACCCAAAGCCTAAATGCTTTCCATGTTTCCGTTCTTCCACACACGTTTAGTAGGCTTTTGCCCTCACTCTTGGCATCTTATAATTCCAAGAAAGATGCTTGCCCGCCATGTCTTATGCTAATACTTCCACAGACATAAAGAAAAGACGAAGGGGTGAGGAGGGAGGCCGGGATGGAGGGTGACTATATCTGGAAAGCAACAGCTTTCCCATCAATCCTAGCAGATGTCTGCTTGCATCTCATAGAGCAGGACTGTGCCACCTGATTAGGATGCAAGGGAGTCTGGGAAAGCAAGTATTTTTAGCTGGACAGATTGCTGCCTCTCCAAAAAAGCCAGAGTCCTATTGACAAAGCAAAAGTGAGGGACGGCACTGTGAAGGCAACTCGCTGTGTGTGCTCCTGGGCTAAGGAGAGACGTAATTTAATCAGAGGGTCATAAAATCAGAGTTGGGCTCCTGTGACGACACCCTTTTTAAAAATGAATTCCAACACAGAATGTTTCTATAGGGTAGAACTTTCATTTATGATGAAATGAAATCCAAATTTAGAGTTTTCATAAGCTTAACAGGGCTGGAAGATTGACTAGTGGTGGGGATGACATACTGCTTTTGCAGAGGTCCCAAGTTCAGGTCCCAGCACCCACAGCCAGCAGTTCACAAATGGCAAAAAAACACGTTCCCAGTGTTCCGATGCCCCTGACCCCCATGAGCACCTGTACACACAAACATCATAAGCAAAATAAATACAAATTGATCATTTTAAAAGAAGTTTAACAACTGCTTGGATATTCTTGATAGCTTTCTACCCTATGTTCACAGCTTAGAGGAGTGAGAAAGTCATGACCTTCATGTGGCTCTGAGCTTAGAGGCATCATGTTACCGGAACAATTTCTACTTACCTCTTCTTTCATTATTATTATTATTATTATTATTATTATTATTATTATTATTTGGATTTTTCAAGACAGGGTTTCTCCGTAGTTTTTGGTTCCTGTCCTGGAACTAGCTCTTGTAGACCAGGCTGGCCTCAAACTTACAGAGATTCGCCTGCCTCTGCCTCCCGAGTGCTGGGATTAAAGGCGTGCGCCACCACTGCCCGGCTATTATTATTTTTTTAAAAAAAGAAAACAAACCCTTTTTTTCTTAGACGTAACAATCCAAGTTCCCATTCCTCCCTTCCTCCCATTTCTTCTACTTACCCTCCCACCCAACCCCCATCCAATCCTCAGAGTAGGTAAGGCACATTGCTTTGAGAAATAT